ATATAAAACTATCATATAATAGAAATAGAATCATTTGATACATTTTGTTACAACCAAAACAAAACCCGCGCTTCTCAAGCGCGGGTCAAAATCATGTATAGACTTTATAACCATATTTCAAACTATATTTCATACATTTATATTGTGTTATACACCTTATATTACACGATTTCAATCTACATATTTCCAATATTATACTTTTTTGGTTGACATTTTTTGGTATATGCATCATACATGGACTTTATAAACCTTCACTTCATTTATATTGTGTTATAGATCGTCATTTCATGATTTATCTTCATATATGAAATATGTTTTCATATCTCACTAAATTTACCCGTATTAATATACCATACTATATTTCATACAATTATATTGTGTTATAGACCTTATATTATTCCCTCCCTTCCCATTAAATACTCTAACCAAATTTCATACTATATTTCATACATTTATTGATTTCCAACATTATATTACACGATTTGGTATATGCATCATATATGGACTTTATAACCACATTTCATACTATATTTCATACATTTATATTGTATTATACACCTTATATTACATGATTTCAATCTATAGATTTTCAGCATTATACTTTTATGGTTGACTTATAAATCATATAAAGATTTTATAACCATATTCCAAACTATATTTCATACATTTATATTGTGTTATACACCTTATATTACATGATTTCAATCTATATATTTCCAACATTATACTTTTTTGGTTGACATTTTTGGTATATGCCTCATACATGGAATTTATAAACCTTCATTTCATTTATATTGTGTTATAGATCTTCATTTCATGATTTACCTTCATATATGAAATATGTTTTCATGTCTCACTAAATTTACCCGTATTTATATACCATACTATATTTCATACAATTATATTGTGTTGTAGAGCTTATATTACATGATTTCAATCTATATATTTCCAACACTATATTTTCTTGGTTGACATTTTTTGGTATATGCATCATACATGGACTTTATAAAATTTCATTTCATTTATATTGTGTTATAGACCTTCATTTCCTGTTTTCTTCATATATGAAATATGTTTTCATGTCTCACTAAATTTACCTGTATTTATATACCATAGTTAGACGACATATATTGATATCAACCAAAAAAGATATATCATCACTCTCATGTTGACATTTAATGGACGAGATACGTTTTGTTAAGAAAATATTGCAAATATGGTTTTCTATAATTATCTTCCTACTAAAATATAGAAGTTGCATTACCTACAAGTTATAGATTAACCACAATCAATATCGTAGATTGCATAAATTTTGGTAACTTACCGTAGTTGGATTACCATTAACTGTTAAATTAACTTCCTAACTAATTCAAAATCTTCAAGAAATATTCCTTATTCCTCAAAAGAGATATTTTAAAAAATTGTATGAAATATTCTCTCCTACATTCGCGTAACCTAATTGTATATCGTCCCTACCTATTATAAATATAGCCTCTCTTAACCATTATATTTATCATCCCTTTACCTAAAACAAAAATGGCGAATAATTTGCAGTTGTCTTTCTTGAGCGATATAAAACCGAGGAAGACTGCTGTCGCATCCAAGTCAAAATCCTTCATACATGGAGACATTTCATGAAAGACTAAGGGAATCCATGGAACTAATTCTTTGTGATGCAAATGTAAATTTATCGTTTTGTATAGATTTTTTATTTAGATATCTTCATTTCGTTAAAGTTTAACCTAAATGATAATGTTTTATGTTTATATAAGAAAGTAAGATCAATGCCTCGTGTAACAAGACATACATTCCTCGATTGGCAAAAGAAATTACTCAAATGCTTATGATTTATTTTTGGTTATAAGTGAGGTCCAAATCTCAAATGCTTATGACGTAAGTCAGATGTTTATTAATCCTGAAATATCAGAGACAAATGAATTTAAACAGCGGCATTTGAACAAAAATGTTTTCACTTTATAATAGTATAGACTAAATTATAAAACTTATTTATAATCGCAGAGATAATGATGATTCTCGAGCGTTAACCTTGGCTGAATAAAAATTGCAGAGGTAATGATGATTCTCCATTGATCCGTTTTAGGATTATTTTTATTTAGAAATAATGTTTTTAGTTATGTTTTGAAAATCCCGTAATGATGATTCTCGAGCGTTAATCCCGGCTGAATCAAAATAAAAAAAATTATTTTTGAGTTACCTTTGACTCTCATAAATTAATTTAATATTTTATTTTATTTTATGGTCAACAAAAAAATACCCGTCCTTCTTAAGCGTGGGTCAAAATGGAATATTATTTTTATTTTTCAAAAATCATAGATGTAATTATTTTAAGTAACGTAAATAAACTATATAAGAAGCGCGGGTCAAAATTGAATATTATTTTTATTGTTCAAAATCATAAATGTAATTTTTTAACTAACATAAATAAACTATATAATTCGATTAACATATTTATTGGATTTAACTACAAATTTGTAATACAGTTTTGGGCATTTTCAATAGTATTGATTTTTCAAATTTACTATAGGCCATGGACCAATCCAATTTTTGATTTCATAAGTTTAGGCAACTTACCGTAGTGGTATTAACATTAACTGTTAAACTTTAAACTTCTTAACTAATTCAAAATATCTTTTAAAAATATTCCTTATTCCTCGAAAGAGATATTTTTTCAAATCGTGTAAATATTCTTTCCTATATTTGCGTAACCTAAATTTATATCTTCCCTACCTATTATAAATATAGTCTCTCTTAATCACTATATTTATCATTCCTTGAAAAAACTAAAACAAGAATGATGAATAATTTGCAGTTGTCTTTCTTGAGCAATATTTAACCGAGGAAGACTTCATGTCGCATCTAAGTCAAAATCCTTCATACATAGAGACATTTCATGAAAGACATAGGGGAGACCATGAAACTAATCCTTTGTGATACAAATGTAAGTTTATCGTTTTGTATAGATTTATGATTTAGATATCTTTGTTTTGTAAAAGTTTAACCTAAATGAAATGTTTTATTTTTTTTTATATATAGCGAACTAAGATCCATACCTCGTGTAACAAGACATACATTCCTGAATTGGCAAAACATATTCGTGTTGGAGTATGGAGGAACATTGATCGTTTCAGTGTGTCTGCCGCTAATGGATCATACAGATCAACTCAGCATAAGTATCGCGGTCAAAATCTGATATGTGTTTCAGTGTTTTGTGCCATGGACCCATCCAAGCGTGGGTCAAAATATAATATGTATTTTAATTTTTCATACTCTCACAATACTTATTTTTTTGATTCTCTGTTCAACCACAAACTGATTCGATTATGCAAAACTCAATGAAAATATCCTACTAAAACGTTAAATATACGTCAAATTTCACATATAAAACTATCATATAATAAAAATAGAATCATTTGATACATTTTGTTACAACCAAAATAAAACCCGCACTTCTCAAGCGCGGGTCAAAATTTAGTATCTATTTAAATGTATTATATGTAATTATATAGTTTTATTTTGGAAAAATAATATCAATTAACTACGCTTGGTGCTCGCAAGCGGGTCAAACTCGTCATGCCCGACCTGCAAAAATAATAAATTTTATGTGTATCCGCTCCACTTAATTTTACAGATAATCTGCGGGACTTGCGAATAATTATTAATAATAAAAGAATTATTTTTTATTTTATTCTACAAAATAATATGAAATATTATATTTTTAATTAAATTTTCAATTTTTTTTTAAAAATAATTATTTTAACGATATTTAGTATATTTTTGAAAAATAACTTTTAAATTTTTTACTATTCTTGCATATTTCGGATACCCATAATTGAAATTAGAACAATCCTTATCCATATTGTGTTAAAATATATTTGACCTGCACCCGCACCCACAACATAATTTTTTCAAATATCGATTGACCCGTTATGTAGCGGGACGAATTGGGTAGGACCAGCGGGCTAATAATTAGAAAGTGAATTTAACCCATTAATAAAATCTATTAGTATATAACTTTTAGCCTTAAAAACCAAAAGACCATATTACCGTTAATGAAAATAAAAATTTGTTTAAATCATTAAGGGTAATTTTGGAAAACATAAAATACTCATTAAAAAGAATGATCCTCTTTTAATGGTATGACTAGATTTTTGACCCGCGCTTCAAAAACGCGGGTACTATTTTTGTTGTTGGATTTATAGATGGAAGTCTTTTGCTTTGATGATATAAAATGTAACAGAATCAAGATCAAGTTATCATGAGGGTATAAATAAATTTTTATTTAACAATGTTTCAGACAAATTTTTTTATGTTTCTAAATATATTAACAATGGTTGTACCTCAAATTTGTACTTGAAAAAAATTATATATTCAATAATTAAATAACCCATTTTTTTAGTTTTGTGATTAATTCATAAAATCATTTAGTTACAAAATTTCACTATCTAATATAGCTTTTTTAAAATTAATGCAGATTTTAATTTATAATTATCATCAATATCTATGTAAATGTATTGTATATAACTGTGTAGTTTTATTTGGGAAAAATAATATCAATTAACTACGTCTGATGTTGGGAAGTGGGTCAAACTCATTTCGTCCGAGCCGCTCTACAGCGGATTGAGTCATTTTTATTACTCTCCATATGACCCACAAAGAAAATATATTTGTGCAAGAAATATTTATAAAATTTGAAAGAGAATTAGCCTATTAATGAAATCCATTATTATATAGTTTTTAGGCTCAAATGAAAATAACAAAATTACTATTAATAATAAATTAAATTTGTATATAAGAATAAGATTGTAATTGGAAAATATAAAAAAACATTAAACAGAATGTTTTTGTTTTAATGGTATTGATATTTAATGGTATTGATAGATTGATAGATATTTAAATAGTTGTAATATGTATAAAAAAGAATATGAGGGACTACATGGGTCATTTTTCTTTCTGTTTTCTCTGTCGACAAGCTAATCTGATTCTCCTTATGGCGAATAACGAAGAGCACTTTGAAGATTCAAACTCCATGGGAGGAGACACGTTTGACGCTTTAAAACAACGATTCAAGGATCGATCAAAGGTACCGCATCATCAGATTCTATTTGATTTTGGCCAGTTTTCTGATTGGAATTTTCATCACAGAAAGTTGTTCATACGAGAGAGTTGTTGTCTAAACAAGCGGTGCAGACGCGCGAGATGCTATCACAACAGGCCGTTAAGATCGCCAAACAAGCCGAAGAACACGAAAGATTCATCAACAAGGTATCAATGGTCTCCTCTTACTTTTTCCCTTGTGGGGAAATTCTCTCTTACAACGTGATGTTTAGACAGGGCTTGAATGTTCTGTCGGGTTGATAGTTGGATTAAGAGAATAATTCAATGAGGCCGCAGAAACCTGGATATAGTTTCATTAAGACGCAATACTCCCTAGGTTTCATTTTAGTTTGTGTATACAGATTAAAAAATTATTTAATTTTTCATAAAAACACTATTACCTATACATCTAATCAGATTTCAAACCTTGAAAAAATAAAAAAATAGATAAAACTAATAAATTCTGGATTGAAATTATAAAACAACTTAATTTAAAACAAAAAAAAATACTCTATATTGTTTTGCATTTTCAGCTCTTTCATTTTGAAAAATATTTGTCATCACTTGTTTTGCAATGTTATGATTTCATTTGTTTTTGTTTTTTTGTTTTTTAAGGTGACACATCTTGTTGGGGTGCTCGGATTTGGAGGTTTTTGTTTCCTACTTGGAGCAAGTGAGTTCAAGATTATATATATATATATATATATATATATATATATATATATATATATAAATTCATACACGAGATCTCTGATTACAAATTCATATTGTTAATGATTTGATGTTTTTGTTCTCAGGACCACAAGACATTCCTCTCGTTTACTGCTTCTTCTATGTCATCTTTGTTCCTCTCCGATGGATATATTACCGTTTTAAGAAATGGCATTATTATCTTCTGGTAATATCGCTCACAGCCTTTTGAGGTTCTGGTAATGTACGAAATGTTTGTGATTATACATTTTTGTATGTGATAGGACTTTTGCTACTACGCCAACACAATCTTCTTGGTTGATCTTCTTTTGTATCCTAAAAGTGAAAAGCTTTTCATGGTTTGCTTTTCCTTTGCAGAGGTATGTATGCTTTTGTAACATGTATATGAGTCTTGTCTCTGCCTGTGTAAGCTGATTTATCAACTTGGTTTGTGTCATTATACTGCGGTTCATCTGCAGGGACCATTGGCATGGGCGCTTATTGTATGGCGTTGCAGTCTGGTTTTTAGTTCGCCCGATAAGATTGTTAGTGTTCTTATACATCTCTTGCCTGGTGCGTTTAAATGCTCTTTTTTTTCAGTTGTTGGCGAAGAATATCCTGGATTCTTTAGTCTTACAACGATTATTTTTTTTCAGGGCTCGTGTTCTTCACGATTAGGTGGTGGAATCCAGCGACATTTGCAGCTATGCGCCCTATAGGCACTGATCGTAGGGTTTCATGGCCTTACGTAGAAGACAAATATTACCTTTTCACATGGCTGTTTCTCGTCCCCTTGGTGGTTTATACTCTTTGGCAAGTGCTTTATTTTCTTATCGTCAATGTTTTGCGTAGGCAGAGACTCCTGAGAGATCCTGAAGTTATGACTTCATACAGGTATCATCATCGGCTGCATCTATTATATTATATCCCCCTAGATGAACATGAACTAATGTGAAACCTTCTTTGTCTGTGCAGAGAATTGTCGAAGAAAGCTCAAAAGGCAAACAATAAGTTCTGGCAGCTCAGCGGTGTACTAGGCGATCAGAACCGTATGTGGATGTACATCCTCTTCCAGGCCATGTTCACGGTGGCAACCATGGCGTTGACCGTACCCATCTTCTTATCGTATAGACTTCACGTGATCTTTCAGATCCTAAAGATTTCAGCGGCAGTGTGGAACGGAGGGAGCTTTTTACTTGAGGTAATGCCACGGCAAGTGATCCAGAAAGAAAAGAAGAAGAAGACAGAGATGCAGCCGATAGAGGAGCAGCCTCCGTCGCAACATGAACATGTGTTACCTCCAATTCTGAATGAGCCAAAATCTACTACTGAAACTTGATGGTACATATTAAAATAATGGTTTTTAAGGCATGCCTGAATCATGCTTTTTTTCCTCTAAAACGGGTTGTTCCTGTGGTTACAATGAATTAACTTTCTATAGAAGTTGGTTTTGCTTCTTTTTACTACAATATTTGTCTGGAAAAGTAACAGCTTACCGTTTAGGATAACATCACTATCACTTCGAAGGTGGCCAAAATCAGAAAAAGTAGTATTTAAACTTAACATAGTAAGTCCAACCTAAGTCTAATTCAAATAAACGAACAATCGGAGCTCAGAAACTAGGATCTGACATGTGCTAGATTGCGTAGGCGAAGCAAGGAAATCACACGTCCGAGTTTTCTACTAGCACATTAGTTTTTGAGAAATACTGAGTTCTCTACTAATACAGATAAAGAGCAATGTTCGAGTACTCGCTAGGCGCTACGCGTGCGGTTGGGTAGGGCCTAGCGCCGAATCAATTAATCGGGGATCATACGGAGATTAATCGGAACGTAATTTTAAGTTTTTTTTTTTTTTAACACATAATTTTAAGCTTTTTATCCCGTAGTTGGATAAAAATACTAAGTATGTGCATATTTATTGTTGTTGCGACGATAGTCTAGTGGGTAGAGGTGTGGAATAATTGTGCCTAGACCCGGGTTCAAGGTGGACTAGTGCTTATTTTGTTAATTAATTTTAGATTAGGTTAAATGATATAGAAATGATGAAATTAACCTTATCTTCAACCCTCATCTCTGCATTTCCCTGCAAATCTCCAGCCACTTTACAAAAAAAAATTCTCGATTTCACTGATTCTTTTCGTTATTCTTGCAGTTTTAGTGAAAGTACATCAAATATAAGACATACTAGGTGACCCACCTGCACCCTGTGCGGGTATAAAAATATAGTATAATGTTGAGATAGGAGTATTTATTAAGTTCAAATGTGGGAGTTAGTGGAACAAGTGAGAGTTTCAATGCTGAGACAAGATTTGCGGAAATCTCTAGGATGCAGTAAGGGTGGACAAATCATTACTTTTTCGGTTTGGTCTGTTTAGTTCGGTTTTAATATATTTTTTTCAACTGAAATAAACCTTATTTAGTCTGGTTCGGTGTGG